CGTTTTGATCCACGCGCGTTAGCAGATCAGCTATCAATTCGAATATCTGCCATCTACCAAGGAACGATCTATATAGGCATGAATCTGGGATCCTGATGTCAAGCCTCTACCAGAGACTAAGCTAGGTGTTCTACTTTAGGATCCTACATGACCATGGAATATGGGCAACAACTTGACTTTCGTCGGTTAAGGTCATTCATGCACCTCTGATTTCACCATCTCGACTAACATTAAGAGAGATATCTTGGATGAGATACAAATTACGGGATGTACGTAAGCCCCCCGAGAATAAATATTAAAATGATGAAATGTTCGAACAAAGAATCTTAGAATATACTCCATTTCTGGAAATTACGTCATAACTCAGCCTTGATCTGTTTAGAGATCTTCTATAGGCCCCGGCTTGATGGCGTGTTTGATTAGTAATGATTATGAATATCTTAAAAGATTTATTCTCTCTCTCTCTCTCTCTCTCTCTCTCTCTCTTCCATGATGACGTTTATGGGGAAATCCAATGTCATTATGACACTGAACCAGTACAACTTCACCTAGTTGTTTCGAACTCTTGATTAGATAAATACCTCAACACTTTCTTCCTTGTTCTTCATTCTTGAACTTTTTATACTTTCCTTGAAGTTTCTCTCAAAGTCATATGCTTTTACTAGTTGATTGCAAAAAACTTAAGGTACTATTTTTTTACTTTACTTACTCAACCTTGCTTTGTCCAGAGATCACCCATAGGCCTCGACTTGATGACATGTTTGATTAGTAATGATTGTGAATATCTTACAAGATTTCTTCTCTCTCTGTTTTCCATGATGAGTTTTTATGGGGAAACTAATGTCATTATGACACTGAACCGATACAACTTCACCTAGTCGTTTCAAACCCTTAATTTGATACAAACCTCAATGCTTCCTTCATTGTTCTTAATTCTTGAACTTTTTATCCTTTCCTTGAAGTTGCTCTCAAAGTCATATGCTTTTACTAGTTGATTGCAAAAAACTCCAGGTATTATTGGTTTTACCTTCCTTACTTCTTACTTAATTTTTTAGAATGGTTATAATACATGAGTGTGATGATCTGGGAAATGTATCGATTCCTCGAAAGTCCCAAGAGAGGAGAGATCTTTGAGATTTGTGCATGAAAGAATGCAAAGAACACTTGGGGAAAGTTGAATTATATCAAATTATTAAGGAAGTTTTATGTGATATTTTTCATCTTTTAGCGTAACTGATTAAAAATCTTCATCATCAGGTTTTGCAGAAGATCTCTAAACCCTAATCAATGTCAAGTATATCTCACAACTTCAAACTGAGAAGAAGATCTCTTCCACCATGTAATACAGTGGGAGAACTGACTTTTGGTTTTGCGTTTTATCACAAATGTTGCATATAGAAAGAGTCGCCACCGACTTTTCTTTTATCCAATAAAGTAAAGGTGAAAAGAACAGGAAAGACCTTTGAGAACTTTTCTGAGTAAGGGGGTAGGTTATGAAAAGGGAAGGTATTATCACCCTTTTCATCCGTAGTTATCTATGGGCTCTTAATCGCTAGCTCACTTTTGAAAATGCTTAGTGAATATGTAAGTTTGAAAATATTTTGAAAATGCCTAAGTTCGGCAACTTTGTAATGATTCTCGTATCAGTTGAGAACATATACAAAGTGTTTGTTTTTGAAACTATTTTAGAAGAGAAATGTATTGTGTGAAAAAATATTTTGAAATGTTTGCGAGCAAGCGATTAAGAACTATCTACCGACTCAAAATTATTTTGTTCTTTTCCTCCTCCTTTAGATAGTGCTATCCTATGCCCTATCGTTGGATGTTTTGAGGGACAGGCGCGGGTCATTGTACAGTCATAAAGGCAACTCGTAGGATGCTTTATAAATTTTCGTAAGGGACTAAGATCGTTTACCAAAGCAACATTGATGGGTCATCGAGGGACTACGATCTTTAAACCGAAGGGTCTTTGCTAAAGCGTCCCACATTCGAGGGACATTACTGTTTTATCCGAAGCAACAAGTGAGGGTTACCCTAGAGGTGTGCGTGTGCAAAGTGGGTTTTGTTTTAGTTATTTTGTCCTGGATTTATGGTTATCTAGCTTTCGCTTTTAGTCTTTGCCATACAATTCTATTAAACTAGCAGTAATAAAGAAAGCAGTAAATTGCGGAAAAACAAATCTAGACTATTACAGAGCTTCAGGAAGGGGGTTATAAACCATAAAATAGGGAGAAAGTAAAGAAACCCTAATTTATCTATTACATTCATTAACAGTTACATAATTATAATAATGTGAAAATAAATAAATGTGCGGAGATTGTGAAACAGGGAAAGATGTAAAAACCTAAAAAATTTCTAAGCGTTAGGAAAATATTTTTGGTGTTTTGTTTAGAGAAATATTTTATAGTGTAAAAATGATAATTAAACCTAATTCTAATTAGTTTACTAGTTAATGAATAAATAAAACCAAAATGTGATTAAATTAATTGTATTTTATTTATCAAAAATTAGATTAATTAATCAAAAATCTAAATCTAATTTTAGTGATTTTTTCTGATTAAATAAAACTGATTAAAAGTAAAATAATTAATTAAAACAAAAAAGGAATCAAGTGGGCCTGTTGAAAACAAGTAAATATGGGGGGGGGTGAGAAAAGTAAAAATTCCTAGGCCCACTTCAAGGAGCCCAGGCGCCTATGAGAGATCCACTGAGAATGATTTCAGGATGTACATCATGGTCATGGCCATCTAAAGCGTTGGATCTGGAATTTTTGAGATCTGAAGGTCATGGCATGAGGATGCACGGTGCGCGCATGGAACTGCTTGGCATTGGATCTGAAATAAAAAAATATTGAAAAATACCATGCCAGGGATAGGGATCGAACCCATGCCCTGGCACACTAACACTTTAACACACAAACGCTTACCGCTGGGGCGGCCATTCCATTCGGTGTTATAATGCAAACTAATTAAAATATTATAAAATGGAAACTAATCTCAGACAAACAAATAAACACGCGTGTGGTGGGACCCTGGAATTTTGAATCAACCAGTCAAGTAGTGGCACGCCCAAGCCACCAAATTCAACTTATCAGGCAACGCTGGAGTCAACCTTCTGATTGTCTTCATAGATGACGATAAATTAAAAACCTGCAAAAATGGCTCAAACAACAAAATCAAACCGTTCAGATCCATTAATTTGGACCTTGCGAATATGATGGTAAGGTCAGTTTGGTCTAATAGTAGCTGGAGTTATAGATTCGAAGCTTCCTTGAAACTCTACCCTAACAATGGTATGACCTAATTCCTGCATTCAACCTCATA